GCAAAAAAAAAAAAAAAAAATGAGGTTGGGGGGACCAGCAGGTGGCGTGGTGGTTAAGGTGCTGGGCATTCCGACATAGCCGACCGTGGTTCTAGTCCTGGACCTGGTGGCTTGCTCTCTCTCTCTCTCTCTCTGGTCAAATTAAAATCAATGAATGAATAAATAAAATTTAATAAAATAAGTCTTTAAAAAAAATGAGGTTGGACCCTTATCTTACACCATATATAAAATCAACTCCAAGTGGATTAAAAATCTACATGTAAGACATAAAACTGCAAAGCTCCTCGAAGAAAGTAGAGGGGAGAGCTTCATTATGTTGCCAGTCAGAAAAAGAAAAGCAGTGTAGACTTCCACTTACTGAGGTCCTAAGACAGGTCAAATTCATAGGGACAAACGGTAGAACGGTGACTGTCTGATGGCAGGGAGTCATAGGACATTATTCTTTAGTTGGGTACAGAGTTTCAGATTCACAAGATAAAAAAAAATATTCTAGAGATTTGTCCTGTAACAATGTGAATAAACACTACACCATTTTCAAAATCTATAAAATGGGGGATTTTATGTTGTGTGCTAATTTAAAAAAAAAAATCACAGAATTAAAAATATATCTATTGGGACCAGCAGTTAGCATAATGGCTATGTCGCTGGACTCTCATGTAGTCGACCGCGGTTCGAGGCCCAGACCCAGTGGTTTAAACTCACGCCGGGCGCGTGTGCATGTGTGCCCAAGATCCCAAGAGGAGAACGGAGGAGAAGGGATGGCGGCATGGCCATTCCCCCCGGGGGGGCTGATTTCTCACTTTCTGTCTCTCTGTCTCGCTCTGTCTTTCTGGCAAGCACATGCAAAAACCTATAGCAAAAACGTCTCAAAAAAAAAAAATTATCTATTAACTGTTTGCCTGTGTCTCCATCACTATTTTCAGGATAATTTCACATGCAAACGGTGCAAAAAACACAGATGTACAGAACTACAGTTTGTGATTCTAGGACCGATGCCAAAGCCCAGCAGGCAGTACCATGTGCAGCCAATGCACAGAGCATGAATTAGAGGCTGTGTGTTTACATCTGTATGCATGTGTGAGCATGCACTTGTGCACGTGTCCACGTATCTCTAATTCAAGAACAGCCCACGTGATTTCCAGGTAACATAGGTCCCTGAGGGAATATTCTCCAATTAATGTTCAGTTTATATGTTTAAATACACACACACACACACACACACACACACACACACGCACACACACAAATATGTGTACATTTCATACGGATGCAACTTTGAATTCAACGTTCCTGCAGCAGGGACAATTTTTCTTCTCCCTGAGCACCCGACAATCCTAGAAGAATCTTGGGATGGTCATTTTTCAAGCCTTTCTGGGTCTGTCTTCTAGAACATTTTTAACCTCCACCCAGCAGGTAATCCCGTTCTAACTGAACATCAGTTAGCAAGCCTGGAGGGAACAGAGTCATCCTTCCTTCAAGGGAAAATTGAACAGGGGCGAAGAGAGAGTAAAACAGCCTACCAGTAGGCATGCTAAAAATGAATTAGGCCTTTTGCTTAAAAAAAAAAAAAAAAAAAAAAAAAAAAAAAAAAAAATTTTTTTGGGGGGGGTTTTT